TTTCGTTGGATATATATGATGGGGTAACGAGGATTTCTCTTAGGATTATTGATTAGGCAGTTTGCATGTAGCCGATATTAGAATGTTTGGCTGAATTTCACAGTTCCATAAATTCAAATCTGCGACACACAGTTGGCAATTTAAGTATCCTGGAAGAGGGATCTTTTTTCCACCAAGACAAGCAGTATGATTAAGTATGAAACGGAAGGATCGGCATCACTTTAGAGGATATCGTCTGCAATAAGGAAGAGGTTCGAGGATAGGATGGGTTGAAAAATGTTTCTGGGAGAAATAAAAGTTTGTAAACATTATGTTCTTTAATTATCATATACTACAATCTTGAATGTATCCATCAGGATGACAGGGAGAAAGTGAGAGAGAATTGAAACTCTTTATTTATAATACTCGCAGATTTAGGTCATATTGACCTTTCTTGGAATCAACGAAAGAGACAGAGAGAGATGGAGAGATAGATAGAGATAGATAGATAGATAGATTGATAGAGAGAGAGAGAGAGAGAGAGAGAGAGAGTGATAGAGAAAGAAAGAGAGAAACAAAGAGAGAGCGGTAAGGAAAGATGAAGAGATTAAAAGTATGTATATTTGTGTGTAAGTTTTATTTCCAGTTACACTATTTCTATGCCGAAGATTATTTACCACACAGACTAAATGCGTGTAATATAGCATATTACTATTTTGTAACTAATTATTTTTGTAGAATATCACAGCAACAAAAAAAAAAGATTAAATGAAATTGGTCAAGCGGACCACGAAATTAGTGAATTTAATGATTAAATGAAATGTTGAAATTTTCTCTTTTTTGTGCTTTTTTTATTAGGTTCAAGTTGGGTTTTTCAACTTCTGTATTCTTTTGTTTTGTTCTATTTTTGTCCCTGTTTAGTGTAGATATTTTAAACAATTTTTCTGGTATGATTGTTAGCTGTGTTTATTGTCTCTTTTTTATGTGTTTTGTTTCATTTTTCCTTTTTGTCTTTTTTTTTCTTGAGTTAAGTTTAAAATATAAATTTTACCCAGGACAAAAAATTGAATTACTAAAGTAACTCCACACCCCCTTTTTCACGCCGTCTCCACTTTTTTCCCATTTAGCATAAAATTTTTGCATTTTAGCTCGTTGTAATTAAAAAAATGGTATACCGCTAGAACCGAAGACTTTTTTTTAATTTGACAAGCTCTGCTGTGAATTTTTTTATTGAGGTCGCAAATTTATGTTTTTTGTCTACTTTTAAATTTAGCAGTTTTGAATGATTTAGTTTTGTTACCAAAAATTAAATTGAATGTTCTAGAAGGTAGCCTTATTAAAAGAAATTTAACACTCTTTTCAATGTTTGTTTTGGATTTCCACAAAAGCGAATAGTACAAGAGCTACGATTAGATTTATGACGAAAATCGAAGATAGTTGGAAAAAATACAATTTTGAAAATTTGCGAAAGGGTTGAAATTCGACCATGATTTATATGGGGGTTTTTCTTCTCTTTGGGCCGTAGAATGTGCTGGTGAAGTTCTGCAGTGAGTACTCCCTGTATGTAAGTTCATACCGTTCTCAATACCGAAACCTGTCAACAAGAACAATTCTACAGGTTTCTGCAGTATTTCAAATCTAAAGTTTAACATCTTTTCTTTCATTCATTCAAAATGCTGCAGTGGTCTACTAGTTGTATCCAAATGTGTACCTTGTTGTTATGAGCCAAAATTGTCCTAGCCTCAAATCAAATGTGCGATGCAGTTTTGCCGTGTCCGCTGATGACTTGCGTAATGTTGTAAGTAATCGGCTGGAGGTCGACGGCCAAATGAGGTTTCACGGTCGGGAAAACCTCTATTTGATGTCACCCCCTTTCTCCTATGTCTGCTTCGGTGTCCTTTTTCCTGTACATTTCTATATAAATATGCAGATGGTATCTGATATAATTATGCAGACATATTTAGATGTTTTGCTAAGTTTATTCATTTATTATGGTTCCGACATGGGCTTTGGTTCAGCTTATTCCTATGCTACAATCCCTAGCGGCTAGTAGTGGCCAAATATTTTTTTCCTTTTCTTTTACTACCAAAGAATATGGGTTTTCTGTATTTTTCAATGGTTTAAGGATTTCCCTTATGTAGCACTGTTTGCAATCATTCCAAACATTAAGTACGGTAAGTAGATTTGATTGGTGAAACACCCATGAATCGATTTGCATTTTTTGTTGACTGGAATAGATAAAAGAGTGTGAGAGAGAAAGTAAGAGTCAGTGAGAGAGAGAGAGAAAAAAAAAGAATCAGCTTCAAATGATTTACCAAGCAGGAGGTTAAAGATGATTTACCTTTGACGCAAATAAACAAACATTCCAAGTTGGATTGTCAACCCGCTTTAATAACAAGATGCCTTCACGAAAATGGAATAATGGATGGTTCACCACACGCTCCGTTATTATGCGAAAACTTTAAATAGGACCCAAATAAGGCGAGGCAAAAAATAAATATAATAAAGTTTCGCCTTCGTCCTACATAGCAAGAAGAGAAAAACGAATAGAAATTAATTCTTTCAGGTTAAACTTATCTTGCAAAGCATTGAAACCGTATTGGTACTCAATTTTTCATGTAAATTATAAAATAGAACCTAACCTTGTCGAACTCTGTGATGAACTATCGTCATTAGTAACTGTGTTTATGTCAAATTATCAACCAATTTTTACGCCCTTCGTGATTGAACGTTGAATGTGCCATTAAACAATTGTGTAGGTACGGGGATGTTACTGTAATTATATGAATTCAAAAAAATATTTAAAAACACACGCAATCGGAACAAAACTGCTTTATTAGTTAACATTCTAACACAAAACGTACCTATTTGTAATTGGTCGTTACCGATCATTTGGAGTTTGCCTGTCCTCACTGGTTTGACCTGTCGGACACGTTTCTGCATTTTGCCATCTTCAGAACGAAATCTGACAGAACAAACCAGCACATATAGGTAGAGATGATTAATAACGTCAAAATTACAGGTTCATCTCCCCACAGACCACATGGAGAAGTCTCATATCTAAACGTACCGTTCATTACTTCTGAAGTAAGAGTGCAGCCACAAGGATTGTCTATAAAACAATTCAAATGATACTTTAATCAAATTAAATGTTAAAAACAAAAGATAATTTTCTTAAAGTAAATTGTACGTTTAATTTTTCCGTACTATTTAAATTATTAACTAGTTATTATTGTAATGCCTTACATATGAGAAGTTGTATTGAACAAAAACTTGTAAATATTTTAAGTAATAATATATTAAAAAAAATCAATTGAAAAAAAAATAAATTGTACGTTTAATTTTTCCGTAGTATTTAAATTATAAACTAAATATAGTAATGCCATACATATGAGAAATTGTATTGAACAAAACCTTGGAAATATTTTAAGTAATGTATATAAAAAAAAATAAATTGTATATTTAATTTTTCCGTACTATTTAAATTATTAACTAGTTATTATAGTAATGCCATACATATGAGAAGTTGTATTGAACAAAACTTTGGAAATCTTTTAAGTAATGTATATTAAAAAAAATCAACTGTAAAAAAATAAATTGTACATTTAATTTTTCCGTAGTATTTAAATTATAAACTAAATATAGTAATGCCATACATATGAGAAGTTGTATTGAACAAAACCTTGGAAATATTTTAAGTAATGTATATAAAAAAATAAATTGTACGTTTAATTTTTCCGAAATATTTAAATTATAAACTAAATATAGTAATGCCATACATATGAGAAGTATTGAACAAAACCTTGGAAATATTTTAAGTAATGTATTGATATATAAAGTTAGGAGAATTTGGCGTGTCATATTGGGGGACTATCTGTTACCATTTCAACAAGGAATTTGATTATTAGCACAGTTTTAATGATTGCTTATCTCCCGGTTTGATAAATGTGTCACCATGACGTGACATAGGGGCATTAAGGTCTATTCAGCGTCTTCGCAGAATAAGCACATAAGATGTTGTTGGTTGCCAATCTTTCTCACGTGCCCATTTAGTCCTCAGAGCCATATTAAATATGCTATTAGGATTAGGAGTCTCTTCCTGCTTCTTTCACCAAGAGGTTTTTGGATTATTAGTGTCCAGTGAGTGAATCCATTGTTACCTTACGTTCATCATGTCTTCTGTACTAAGATACTTGTTGATAGGTTTGGTTGAGGACCTATCAGTAGGGGAGAAGCCTTTCCTTGCGAGGACATGCGCTTTTTCATTCTCCTGTACTCTGTCCTGGGACTCAGGAAAGAGTGATTTTGTTCATCGCACTTGTTTAGGTTTTACACTTCAGCATTCTAGAGCTAATGATATTTTAGTTTAATACTTTCATAGCTGTCTATCGGGCAAGGTAACTATGGCTTAATATCCTCTGATAAATTGAATTGGGAACTTCTCTTAATTGCATGAATTCCATCATGAAATATACTGGCATACATGCTGTAGGACTTGAGACTTAACTTTAAATGTTTGGTTTGGGGCTCATACTCCTGCCCTTGTCCTAGATCAATCGGTGTACTGGCAGATAGTATCTTCCATAATACTAAATACTACAAAACTAAATCTTATCACCCATTATGCTAGAAATATTATTTTTATTCTGCAGAACATAACCAATTATAGACAATACATGAATTCAGAATGAATGAACTACACCAAATGTTATGTTTGATATAAAAAGTAAATGTTATGTCTTTCAAGCTTTTGCTCCTCTCATGTAAAATTGGAACAGGTATATAGGTATGATAGGTGATATTCAAAATCACATAACTTTTACATGACATATAAAAACATAAACGGATTTTGGTTTTGAAAAATTCGAGAAGAATAAATGTCAAAGAACGATCATTTGAAGAAGACTAAAGTATAAATATAAAAAACAGGATCATCAAAGACAATAGTTAATGTTGTATGATATAATAAATACGAAAATCCAGTAATAAAAGTAATAAAATAATATATTTTATTTACATATTTATAAATATTTAACAGATATTTTTACATATTTTACATTTTAAAAAAACTAATTGAGCTAAGTTCATTTGTAAATCATTTGCATAAAGATTCTTTCAATTCTCTTCTCAAAATCTTTCCAGTCATGTTTTTAGGAATTTCGTTGCAGAAAATAACACCACCGATTTGCTTGTACTCAGCAACCTTACTGGCAACAAATTGTTGTAACTCCTTTTCGTTACAAGACGCACCAGGTTTCTTGACAACAAAAGCAATCGGTACTTCTCCAACCCTTGAATCAGGCTTTCCTACCACACCAACATCAGCTACACTTGGGTGTTGTTTCATAACTTCTTCTAGCTCAAGAGGAGCCACCTATTGACAAAAAGATTAACTAAAATTGTTACAATTTATTACAAAAGATTAATGTACCTGGAAGCCTTTGACTTTGATAAGCTCTTTGATTCTATCGACAATGAACAATTGACCAATATCATCGAAATAACCGACATCGCCTGTGTGTAGCCAACCATCAACTAAAGTCGAAGATGTTGCTTCTTCATTTTTATGATAACCTTCCATTATCTAAAATAAAGAACATTTTAAACATTTCTTTATCTAACTGATAAATTAAAATTGTTTCTAACCTGAGGACCTCGACAGCAAATTTCACCGGGTTGTCCAGGATCTATGGTCTCTTTGGTTTCTGTGTTGACGATTTTTACTTGTGCCCCTGGCATTACATGGCCCACAGTTTGAAGGTTCACTGTCGTGTTTCTTGATGATGTTATAACCGGTGATGACTCAGTCAGCCCATATCCTGTGGGACAAGAAATGTGTTTACACTGGGATCGCTCGAATGATCACAATTAATTACAATGAAATTAAGTTACCTGACATCACAATCATGTGCTTTTTTGCTAGAAGTTTTTTGGCATCAGACAAAGAAATCGCAGCTGCTCCATTAATGCAACACCTCAACGATTCCAAATAAGATTCTGTAACTGAAGGGTGGTTGGCCATAAACTGTACAAGAGGAGGAACAACGTGGGCGATCGATATCTAAAAGAAAAACATTGTTAATGAGAATGAACAATGAGCTAGGCAACAAATAATCCACCCAAATGTGGCCATGTGCAGATGACACAACTTTCAGGATGTAAACAGAAAGTTTTGAGTTATTAAATTTAATATGGGATCACTACATTTCTCTTTTGAGATTTTTTCATAAAAAGGGATGAGTCTTCGTTAACACAGTGTTATTAAAATACATTCAAAAAGGTAAAACTCGTGTTTGTTCAATTGATAAATACTGGCTCTATTATCCCACTTACCATAGTTGATTTTGGTGTTTACTTTTAATTTTATTTATTACAATTTAGTAATTTACTCACTTTGTGTTGTTTGAGGATTTTGAGATATGGTTCAGGCTCAAACCTCGGAAGAGTTACTAATTTTGTTCCATTTCCAAGGTATGTCAGGGCACCGATGCTCAGCCCATAGACGTGGAAGAACGGCAAAACACATGCTGTTGCATCTTGATAATTTTCTGAAATGAAATGAATATAAAAATTTAAAAAAACAATTCTCATTTTCTTCAAAATAGGTTATGACGTACTGGTGGTCTCATAAGCCAATCTTATGGCCGGATGGTCGACCTGTGTCAAATTGGATACGATGTTCCTATGGGTAAGCCTGACCCCTTTCGGCAGACCGGTCGTTCCGCTGGAGTATAACAGAAGAGCTAAGTCTGTATGGTTGACGTTTATTTTGTCGACTGCGGATTCGTCTGCGTCCTGCACCATCAAAAGTTCCATAAAAGATTTAACACCATCCGGCAACGATTCTGAGAGGTTGTGAATCACGACAATGGGCGGTTTGTTGGGTGATTTGCTCTTCTCTATTGCTTCCTTGACGTCTCCGACTTTCATCGGGAACGTGATCACGAGTGACGCTTCCGAATTGGACAGCTGGTGATTTATTTCCTCTGCAGCAAGAAACAATAGTTAATTATAACAATAAAAAGTAAATTACCAATAAAAATTGTAAAAACAAACCTGGCGCGTACAAAGGATTGATTGTTGAAACGACAAGGCCGGCTTGGAATGCTCCTAGCATGGCAATCATGAATTCCGGCAAGTTTGGAAGCACGAGAGCCACAACTTGTCCTTGCTTAAGACCAGATTTTATAAAACCAGCTGCGACTTTTCTGCTTAATACCCGCAGTTGTGCATAAGTGTAAGAACGCCCAGTTAATCCGCACACCTGAAAAATAACAAATAACACATTAAATTACAGTTACAATAAATATATTATAACTATAACGATTTAGCAGCCGAAATATTTAACTCAAAGAATTGACCAAAGAACACCGGGTATTACATGTAGCTTACGTGTTAAAAAAATAAACTCCTAAGAAATAATACAATGGAAGCAGCCTTGAGACAGAAATTACAAATATTCTGATAGGAAAATTGGTTCAGATTTGGTAACTTCTGTCTTCATCAACAGTGATCAACTTAAACACTAAACCCGAAATAACGAAATATACTCATTTCCTCTTGAAATAAATCATAAGAAATCTTAGAAATTAGCAAAATGCCGCTTAAGAAAGTTCAAGTTTCTATGGGAGAACACTCAAAAGTATTTATATAAGAATAAGATCAATTCGCAATAAGTCTGGTAAGTTAGCATTGGGCAGTCGTAAATTTACCTGGCACCGAGATTTCAAAAATTTACTTTTTATCATAGATGTACATTAGAATTTTTCCGGTATTATTTTATTCTTGTCGGTTTGTTTGTTGTAAAAATAATTCATCATTTTATACATAAAATGAATTTTTCATTTTTCAAAATTTCAATGTTTTACAGATTATAGAAATAACTTATTTAGTAAAGCATGATACATTTTACATCAATATATTTTTAACTGTTAATTTATAGTCGCTAATTGAATTTTAAATTTGACCTCAATAGCCCAGATTAGGTTACTTTCCCCTATTTTATTGACAATCTAGATCAATAAAAGTAAAAAATACCTCGATAATGATTAAACTAGGGAAATAGCACATAATGCATGTCTAATATCAATGAAAATCAATTAAACTTAAATTACTGATTGCTTTATCGCTTTTATTAGATAAGTCTATTCGTAAATTTTCTATCTGCTCTAATTTTTCTAAATCACAATCAAATTTACTACAAGTAGTCGAATGAAAAATATGATTTCATTTTACCAGTTTACTATACTACTAGAACAATGTTTTTGTCTTGGTTTTGGGTATTAATATGACATAAACATTCTTACAATAAAACTTTATTATTTGTAAGATCATATTAAATTTAAAATCAATAAATTTAAATCATGGTGACTGTTTTTAATTCAAAGGAAACCGTTGGTTTTCAACTTGTGTTTTAAATTCGTGGCTTTGTTGAGCCTTTTTTGCCTTCAGTTTCAAAGGGTTTTTAATATTGACTTTGATAGCTAAACTAAGATAGAAGGTTTGGGATGGTAGGGCGTGAAATGACCTTAGCCGTTAAAACGCCCTTAAAAATTAATAATAATAATATTGACTTTCATTTATGTTTATTACATACACATATGGAGAAAAAATAAGGAAAAAATTGTAAATTGTTATAACCTAACAAGGAAAAGAGCCAGTTTCTTCACCAATTTATTACACTATATATAATAAAACTTATTATCGCTTATTGAGCCTAATGGACGATTTGATAATCCATTTCAATTCAAGTGGTATAACAAACTACGTTTGTTCATCTTTTAGTCAAACATGAAACATGCTTAATTATGGTAAAATTTGTTCTTTAATGTAATGCTAATTTTGGAAAATTAGTGCACAAACTGAGAATATCTGTTCAAAAAATGACAGTCGTTGCTTATCATTTTTGGCTACCAAGCAAACTATATTTGACCTTTTGCGCAAATTTAGATGTTCTGAATATGTAAGACTGAGCCTTATAAAACTCTTTTTTACTTTAAAAATACATTTTTTCTATGATTTTAGAATACTGATTTCAAATTTACTAGTTTCGTGGTCCGCTTGAACAATTAATATCTTTCAATTAATTAAGGTTTTTAGTTGAGATAAAAAAGTCAGTGTCACGAGCGGGATTCGAACCAACGATCTTCGGCTAGATACGCAGCTGCTCTACCACTTGAGCTATCTCGATCCACTCGGACACTAACTTCCCATCTCAACCCGACCTTTTGAATTTTCCATCCTTTTTGCCATTTTTCAAATGACCTGTAATGAATTTGATTCTCGGCGACAAATGGTAGAGTGTCAAGTGGTAGAGCAGCGGCGTATCTAGCCGAAGATGGTAGGTTCGAATCCCCCTCGTGACACTTACTTTTTTATCTCAACTAAAAACCTTAATTAATTGATTGATTTCAAATTTGTATTATATATTTAAAAAAATGTAAATGTTCATAATCACCATATAAAACTCATTAATTTATAATATATTTCAAAAATTAATACATACTTGGAAAGAAGTGAAATAATAATAAAAGTAATAATTTTATTTTTGATAAATTACAACATTAATTGTTTTGTTTATTGCTTCAAGGAATGCAGATGTAAAAAACAATTAAAATTAATTTTAAAAAATATTTAGCTGGGTTACGAGATATAAAATATCTTAATGAATAATGGTTTGTAGTTTATATCCCCGCTTCCGCATTGTTCGTATTTATGGCTGAACTGTTTCGCCTTGAACATGATTAAATCATCTTGAAAGGGTAATTCTCAAAAAGAACTAATCATTGACTCAATTTCCTCGATAAACTGCATGTAGCGTTTGCTAGCTCATTGCGACTTGTATAAATGTTTGTCTGGCTAGAAAAAGTAAAATAATAATTGCAACTTAAGTCCAATTGGTTTGCTAATTGCAGCGAAATGCACTTCTAATTAAAATTTCTTAAGAAAACTACATGTAGGTAATTTTAACGACCAGGCAGTCGATTCGACTTGAGTAATAAAATGATAATAATAAATTTTATATATAATTATTAATTAAATATTTTATATATGTTATAAATAAAAGTAATATATATTTATTACTAGAATAATTAATCAGTAATTTAAAAATAATTACGTTTTATTGTCACCAGATAGACATTTTGTGTTATATGCTTCGTTTAGTAATTTTCCAAACCGTATTTATTTTTGTGTGGTGATTAATGACCGTTAGTCGATACTTATTCCGAAATCGTGAGATGCGGTCTGGTATGATGTAGGTTTTGAGAAAAACATTTTCTTTATCGTGCCAACGTTTCGATCTTTATTGAGCTCATCTTCAGGGCTGGGAATTTACAAACATTGTTTAATTTAACAAATACATGTAGGATGTGGAAAAAAGTGAATTTATATGCAAAATATATTTTTTATATTGAAGTGAGTAGAAATACTTTGATATAATATTTAAAAAAATATTTTGCATTGTGTAAATTCACTTTTTCCCACATCCTACATGTATTTGTTAAATTTAAACAATATTTGTAAATCCCAAGCCCTGAAGATGAGCTCAAAAAAAGATCGAAACGTTGGCACGATAAAGTAAATGTTTTTCTGAAACCTACATCACACCAGACCGCATCTCACGATTTCTGAATAATTGTATTTATTTTATTGATTTAGATTTTCAATAAAACGAAGTCTTTTTTTATCACCCCTTGGCGTTTAAGCCTTACCAGGGGAGGCTACGGATATGAGACCATCAGTTTTAATGCAATTGTTGTTTGGTGGTTCTAGGTCGGAAAATATTAGATTCACGTCCAAAAAAAGCACTAGAAACAGAGCTACAAAATATTTTAGCTAATTTAAGTAATCATGTGCTTTTCTGCCTTTGTGTTGCATGTATTTCAATTTTGTATACATACATCAGTTGATTTTTTTAATATGTTTTAAATCTAGGATAAGAAAGAATAGCAGGATTGTATTAAATGAAATTAAATGAATCAAAAGTTACAAAACCAAAAGGCGTGGCCAATAAAGGAAGTCAAAAACTAAAAGAAAATAACTTGAATTCGTTTTAAGCACCCTTTCACACCCTTAAATACGAATTTTCAAAATAACCAACAAATCAGACATTTTTGGTTGAGATTCGCCGAGAGAATTTTTTTCGGGGATATTCTACTTAAAAATTACTATGAATTTTATCCAAATTGAACTTTATTAAAACTGTTAATTGTCTTTTTTGAGCCTCTGCCAACAACCTTAGGCTTATTATGTTTACTATATCATAAGTCCAAAAAATAAGAATGAAATCAACAAAAAAGTCTGTTTTTTAAAAATGTTTTATTTTATTTCTCCTGTTTTATTTATTCATTTGTTTATTTTATTGTATTGAATTTTTGTGCCATTGCCGGCACAGGATCGGCGGAGTCGTTTTAAAATTATCATCATTTCTGTGATTTTCGAAATATCTGAGACATTTCGGAAGGCTAGCGTTTCGAGAAAAATACTATTTTTTAACTTTCCCACAAATTTGTATTTAAGGTTTTTGTGGCTGTAAGAAACGAATTTCAACGTTCTCGCTTGCTAAAAAAATATTTTAATCTATTTTATTTCTTTGATCGATCACAAATTTATGATATTAATATCCCGTGCTAGCTGCCAAAATCATTTTGACGCGAATAACAAAATAAAAACGAATAAAATTCATGAAAATGAAAGTAAACTAAAGGGACGTCGGTGGCCAGGCACTGATATGGCATTCATCACTGTAATTTCCCCGGTTCGAAACCAGCAGCCCTGTATTGAAAAAAAAAATCAATTTTAATTTGATCGTTGCCGATCATCTCGGTAAGCATATCCTCGCTAGGTTGTTTTGTCAAAGGCATTTCCGCATTTCGCAGTCTTCAGTGTGTCTGCGATTCTGTTAAGTCAAGTTCTTCTATTCGGCGGGTGGGAACTTCACTTATGGAGGCTTTGGCCAAATGTGTGTAAAAAATATTACTACACTAAAAGAATGTAGAAAGAATGTACAGATATATTCGTTGGATTGTTCTCTATGTAATTCTTTTGAATGTAATTTTATAAATTTGTATGCTTTGGTTGAACGTGACAGCATAGCATATTCACAGTAGGTTATGAAGTACACGTTTTGTAAACAAGTATCAGTACACGTATTTAGTCGTTTAATCCACTAACACAATTCTTTTTTTGATCTAGAAGAAAAAGAAATTGACCAGTAGTTTAGATAAACAAGAGGTGAATAAATTCCAACGGTTATAATCCAATTAAATAAAGTTTGTAAATAAAGTTTGATGCTCTGGCGTCATTCCCAAAGGAGGGAACATATCAAGGTGGGACTGAAATAGTTTAGGATGAACCGAAATGCGTCGTCGTGCTATAATTACCAGTGCCGTGTGTTCGGGCCATTTATCCAAATCCTTGAAAATCCTTTCTTGTATTGTGATCTCAGGTACAACGAGATCTCCGAACGGTGAGTCGACGTACTGAGACGAGTATGTCCTCGGAGAGACGACGAGGTTCTTGCAGATCGCCTCACCCTCGAGCAACTTCTTGTAAGGGAGCCCGGACAGGACACGCCTAAGTGACCTCATTGAATGCATCCTGTAAAAAAAAAATAGTCTAGGTTTACAAGGAACAAATTCAAATTTATACTTAATTAAATTTCCACTAAATGTTAATTTAGTTTGTTAGTTCGAAGTATTTGCTCTCACTTTTTTTAATGAACTATAATTGACAAGTCTCCCAACTTTATCCAACCGCACTGATAATAATTGTAATTCAGATTTTTCGATCATTCTGGCCAGCCTATCCTCACTGTTTTGGTTTGTCAGTGTGTTCCGGCTTTTCACCATCCTCAGTTGGTGTCTCCTCTCAACTTGGTTAACCATTTTAAAAGAAAAGTAGCCGAACCATCTGATAAACGAATGAAATCCCACAAAAATAATAATGTGCACTTGTTATTAGGAGCGCAAAACCAAAATGAGTTAATGATGACCTTTAATTCAGATTTTTGAGACTCCAGTGGCAATGATCATAATATGGAGTCGAGTAGCACATTCAAAAATCTGATAGTTGTAAACGTTCATCAATAAATGAAACTAAGCAAACAGTACAAAACCTTAAGAATTTCCGGGTTGCACAAAGATTTAAAACGTCCCCTAATTTGATATGGCTTTACAACCAGGCTTATCTCATACGATCCCGCTTCAGCCTGTCAGACAACGACCACAAGGAGAAATCTCACAAGTTGTGAATCAGACTAAATTTATTTGTGGTATATGCTGAGATTAACAGGATGATCGATGACGGTCTAAATTCAAATATTTTTTCCATTTAATAATTTCTTGTTTATTTGTCTGTTTGTCCAAATTTACTTGAATATCTTTGAGGTTAAGTAGTAGTGAATAGGAAATTGTTCACATTTTAATCCGTATTAATTGGAAAATTGGACGGCGTATGTAAGGAACGGTTGGTTCGAAAATGTGTTCTGTTTGATCATTTTTGGTCTTCCTTTCATCGATGTTTGTTCATGTTACATAATTTTACTCTGCAAGATAAGGTTTGTTAAGAATCTAAAAAAAGTAACGATCGCGGCAGAAAACTTGTTCCTCCATTGAAAACACGATAAAACACGTATTTCGGGAAATAAACAGCGAAGATATGAGGACCAAGGATTTATGTTGAATTTTGTAGAACATCTTGAACACCGTACAGTTCCAAATCAACACGCCAAGGCATAACGGTTCGGAAATATTATTATAAACTGTCTCAATGAGATATTTTGTCTTGAATATTACAATTAGAAATTAAAGGTAAGCAGTAATCGAGAATTTATACTGCTCACTCTATTATTCATTCTAATACCATCATTACTACTGATGATACCGCAATTTTGCCTTTCAACCCAAATCCTATACAAGCTAACTCCAGCATCCAAGAATGGTCTTTTAGCAATGATGCAAACAGTGGAAGACCACGCTGAATAAGGAAAAATGTTCATAGTGTAAGAGAAAAACACTATTGTCCTCCTGTGTACATCAATAACAAGAAGCTACTGACTTCCGGTCAAGTCCGGTAGTTAGGAAACATAGACATCAGTCTAGCATAGAATCCCCACAAAATAATAATTAAGAAACAACTACTTGGCAGAAGACTTAGACATTACGATGACTTTTAGTACCAAAATCTGTCTTGGCTGTCAAAACTCAACTAATTCTATGCAATACATGACTGTGAAACTTGGGTTCCGCCAAGGCATCTCATATTCAGCGCATAAAATCCTTCCATTAAAAAGTCCTCGACAAATTTTCAAAGCTCTTTACTAGTCACTAACCGATCCGTGCCAGTTTACAGTGCCATTCTCTATCCATCCTAACGTGCCCAATCCACGCTTTCTTCTTGTGAGATTTCCTCCTGTGGTCAGAGGGTGATGGACCTATAATTTTAAGTAACCTATCATCTTGCTCTGGCTATCCTAGTTGATTTTGTCAGACAGACGCATTTCGTTATTTCCCTATCTTCAGTGTTAAATCTGTGTGGTTTACATTAAGTCAAGTCGCCGACACAAGCACCCCTCAATCCCATGGACCTTATAAAAGAAACTTGACTTCGCATAAATCGCACGGACTTACCACTGAAGACGAAATGCCCGTCTGATAAACCAGACCAGAAGGATAGCCAGGTCAAGAGGATAAGTAACTACATAGGAACTGCAGAGAGAGAGAGAGAGAGAGAGAGAGAGAGTAAATAATAGAGTAAATAGAGTAGGGTAAATTATACTCTTTCCTATCTCGAGAACAGCCACGTGGCCTCGAGACCGCCTCACCACTTAGCCGTTCATATTAACTTCATCAGTGGCTGCCTTCTCTAACATGTGTCCTTCTGATGCAATGCTGACCATTGACCAACCATTAGAAATAATTTAGTGGGATGGGTATGTCAATTCACTTTTCCAAAATGTGGGGAAAAAGTAAACTGTCCATAGTGTCAGTGTTGTGACAAAAATATGTATATACATATTTGTAATATGTATTTTTTATATGTACAGGCGTAATAAATTATTTTAAAAACTAACAAACACGTAAAAATGAAATGAAAAAGGCTAATGGCATTGAAGTTGATGTATACTTTTAATAGATACTCAAACTTTTTAAAGCTCAATTAATTAAAGACTGGAAAATGCAATTTTTCTATCTATAGCAAGATATTTCAAAAATCCTATATTAACTCCTTTGGTTTAATTTTAGTTTGTACATTCTTGGCAAAAAATTCGCGATGACTTTTAAGTTCACTTACTTCGTTGAGAAAATTACTGTTGTTTGTTTTTTGTTAGAAAATAAACTTTTTATACACTGTATTTAGAGACTAAGACAATTCGTTAAAAATGCACACCATACACATTTAATAAAAAGCCTCTCCGTGGAAAATTTAATAAAATCTTCAATTAATAAATCAAACTTTCCGTCAGACCCATTTGTACAGAGGAACTGTACAAATAGTAAGCAGGAAGTTCAAAAATTATCACTGGACCTCTTCTCGTACATATCCGCTTATCTTTGTTTTTCAAACTTTCAAGAGATAAAATTAGAAAGTCGACCCCACAATCATAATTACTGCTCCAACTTCCAAGTATAGTTTGAATGTCTTTCTGTTTTTAATTTTGATATATTTACTATCATTGTTCAGGATCAAGACTTGAGATATTTAAGAAAAAATTGTTGCTTTGGGGACGAATTCTTGAAAATAAAATTAATAGAAAGTGGTCTTAGTAAATGTTACGATTCATTTTGGAAGTCATTGAACTCCTTCCATTAGTACTGGTTTTGTCTGAGCCTACTACCACTTTATGAGGCTAACAGATGTTAAAACAAAGGACGAAAACAGGCTCAGTTTTGTTTTAGATTCATGCCAGGACACAAACGACGCGGACGACAAAACACACCCACTCAATGCACAACCGGTTTATTTTTTGTGGGGTCCTTCCACGTCCACATCCGGGGTTAATAAATATGTGAAAACTTACAAACCCAGTCTCCATAAAGACCGACATAATGTCTTGGACAACAAGTTTCAGATACTTCTAAAAGTTGTTACAATCTAAAATAATAATCATATTAAAATAATAATAGATAGTTTTTATATTTTTTCAGTTGGTTCAATTATTTTGTTAAAGAATTAAAACAGAAATTGATGATAGAAGAAAGAAAAATAATAGCGTAAAATTAAATTCTACTTAATGTTTGGAGTGGGTTTATAAAAATTAATCAAGTCTCACCACCTGTTGCGCGTGCAGATAAAAAGAATTAAAGTGAAACAAAAAGCCTGGTTTAGGCCAATATTGTTGCTGAATATCAATATTTTTCCGATGAAATATAAATAAAATAAAGGAAATTGTATGAACGACCAAAATTTAACTAATACGGATCTTAGACATACTCGACAAACGGCGTTCTTGTTAAACTTTTCGATTAACTATGAGTTTTCTCAAAAAAATTTTAAACTCACCTCCGTATATTATAAAATGTTTGTATACAAGTATCCAAAAAGGTTAAAAAAAATGAACAATGATAAATAACTATCCATTATATTTCGTGGTCCGATTGACCAAATAACTTCTTTCAATTAATTAGTGTTAAAAATAAATACGGCTAAAAAGGAGGGAAAATTCGAAAGGTTTAAGGTTGAAATGTGGAGTTTTAGGTTGGTGTCCGAGTGGATTGAAGTCAGGACAGCTCAAGTGGTAGAGCAGCGGCGTATTTAGCCCAAGGTCGTGGGTTCGAATCCCACTGGTGACACTACCTTTTTCATTTCAACCAATACCTTACATAAATATTAATTAATTGAAATAAATAACTATATCATTACATAAGCTCGCTGCATAGTTTTTTCCAAGGTTACAATTTATCTGCACCATCCTTCAATAGGGCCACCATTTTTCACAACACCAATTTAAGGGAAATTTGCTAAAGCTATTTTCTATTAGACAACTTTCTGAAAGAGAATTAAACTTTATAAAAGCAGGGTAAAAGAACGAATATCTGTTGACAAGTGACTATCTATTCACTATGAAGGTGTTTGTAACAGTCCTCACTTTAATTGTTTTCCAGGAAAACAAACATTTTCATCGTCTTTATCATGCAGATTTTCACATTGTCTCTTCGTAGAGAATCTCAAATGAGTACAATTTACAAACAAAATAGTGGAAGGAATCTGAAAATTTTGATACGATCGTAAATGATTTTCAAATATGTAAGATTTAAAAAGTCGAAGAACGGACACGACTTCGTAAACGATTATTTGTCGACTTTCGCAGTTTACAAGTTTATATTATTCTTTTATTCAAATGTGCTGATCTGAAAATTCCAGATAAAAATATTAATTGATATTAACATACTTTAACATCAGAATGATTTTGGTTTGCTGGGATCAATGTTGGGCAGAACTTATAACAATTATTAATAATTTTTTTTAAAATCCAAGTCCCTCCAATTCATTTGACATTCGCCTAAACACGCCAAGAAACACAAAAATAAATCATCGTATATTACTTTGATAAACAACAGTATTTTAAGAGGGTTTAAGACAGAATATTTTAAAAAATT